GGATGGAGATGTGTACGAGGTCGGACATGTGAGGAGGGGCAATGGTGGATAGCTTTAAACATGAGAAGAAGAATTTTGAAGATGATGCGTGATTTGACCGGGAGCCAGTGGAGCTGCTGCAGGACTGGGGTGATGTGGTTATGGGAGGTTTGGGTAAAGACACGTGCAGCCGAGTTCTGCACCATCTGAAGATTATGGAGGGATTTTTTGGGGAGGCCAAAGAGAAGAGAGTTACAGTAATCAACCCGTGAGACAAGACTATGGACAAGGATGGCTGAGGTGTGAGAGAAGGACGGAGACGGTTGATATTTCTGAGGTGGAAGTAGGCAGACTAACATTATAGATGTGTGCAGTGAAGGAGAGAGTGGTGTCGAGGATGACACCAAGACTCTTGACCTGAGGGGAGGGGGTTSGCAGAGAGTTGTTGATAGGGATGAGGAGATTATTTGATTCTGAGATGAATTGACTTGAACCGTCTCTTTAGTTAAAAGTCAGATATAAAATGTTGGAGCCTTCTACAAAGCAAATATGGCTTCTTTTTATGCTAAAGTTTAAAAATAAACCTTTCATTTAAATTTTTGATTGCTTGTAATGCCATTTGATCTGTACCACACATATTGTACAACTTGTTGAGTTTGAATGCACATTGTGAAGACATTCTTTATTGCCTTGCACTTATGAGGCAATTTGTTTTGTTACTGAAGTTATTAAGAAACGAAAACCATTTTATAAGTAATTCTCATTTTAACACTAATGCTTTATTTTCACTTCTGACCATTCATCAACAATTATGTTGCTTTAATTGTGGAGACTGTGACTAGTATTTTATACCTGAAATGTACAATCTTATTCCTAGGTCATTTCCTGCAATGTTTCAGAGAAGGCATAATAAGGGAAAGAGGTCTTTTCCAGCTCCTACTACTGTCGTACACGCAGTTCGCAACTTCGAGTTAAATTTCTGCCTTCTGCCTGATTCAACAACAAAGACCCCAAAGAATGAATTACGTCTTCTTCAAGCTGGACTTGGAAGGCGTATCCTCAGCATAGGTGACAATGCTGATCATGAAGAGGTACTTGTCTGAATTTTACATGCCTTTCCCTTGTTAGGAAAGCACACACTGTACATTCTTCCTCTACAAGAAAGAATTGATATTTCGCCTCTTCCACATGATGCTTCAGAATTCAGCAAAATGCCGAAGTCGCAGTGCAAGACCTGTAGTGTGACTGTGCCTATTCAGCTACTAGTTAGTCACATTGAAAACTGTGTACAAGTAAGCCAAATTCACCAGTCAAGTTCCATTTGTGCTAAACACTATTGTTTTTAGTTTGTAGATTTTGTAGCACTTTAAAATGGCTGCAAAGACCATGGTTTTATTTGGTGACAGTACTTTAGATAGGGTTCATGCCAGGTCTTAAAAAGTCTAAAAAAAGTCTAAAATTAGAAAATCTAAATTTTAGACCTAAAAATGTCTTTTAAACGCCCAGATTTTCATCCAAGGTCTTAAATTTAATTTTGTCAAGTCTTCATTTTTTCTACTTTTGATCATTCCTGAGAACCGTTGGCTGCATAAATAAAGAAAATTAAGAGTCGTAATCAGAGATTGACACGATCTGTCGTCATGAAGTGCTAAGTTTGTTACTGGTCACGATTAAACTACAAATCCCATAACTGCAGGTAAAATTGCCACAGTTTACTTCCAAGTTTTTGACCTCTTTGCCGCTACAACCCCCCACATACAGTGGCTTATTTACCTGCTCAACAAACAGAAGTTCAGTCATGTCCACTGCTTGTTGTTTAAACATGGGAAAGTGTATTTTCAATCAGYCTTTACTTGATATCAGTGATTTTTTCACTCGGTTGAAAGCGGTTCACAGCAGTCAAATATGACCGTTTCATTCAAATAATTTAGTGTTCTTGTATTAAAATTAAATAATATTTAATAATTAAATTGATAGCAATAAAAGGTTTCTATAAAATTTCTGAGACCATTTAAATGTTTCTGTTAATGCGTCGATTTGGTCTTAAATGTCATTACTAATTGTCTTAAAAGGTCTTTAAAAGGTCTTAAATTGAACTTACCTGCATGAACCCTGTTTAGAGGTGTTTTTTTAATTAATTAATTATATTTTGTTTAAGCTGAATAATTTTCAAAAATTTTGCTTTTAATGGTATACTTTTATTAGTATGTTCTGGACATAACTTTAAATGTGGAAAGTAACTATTTGCCTTCTCAGGATGATGACTGTGAAAACGTCACTGACCAGGTACAGGAGACTGATGTTCAGGTGCAGCTTATCACAAATAACATTTAACATTGTGAATTCCTGGCAGAATTCCATGCAAAACTTTGTTTAACATTTTCATTATCTGCAAATCATTTAGCTGTGATAGTTTTCACAAGACTTACAATATTTTTTTGTTCTAAAAGAAATACACTAATTGATTTGTAATGTCCTCTTCAGCCTTCCTGTCCTGTTTGTGGTGGTCAKTATCCTGCAGATGATTTAATCTTACATGCCAGTACATGTGGAGATCAGTAAGTTCATTTTAGCTCAAAGTCTAAAGGTTTTACTTCTCTATGAACTCATAGTATTTATACATCTTATTGCTTCTGTCTTTGCAACCTGTCAGAGCAGTTTTCAGGTCTTCAGCTTCAAACTGCCCATGTCTACAATCTGGCAATATGTTTTAGTTTCTTTACAATACATTGTATAGGGTTACGGTTTCTGCTGTTCATGAAATGTTACTTCCAAACTAAACTTCATTCATTTTTATACTGATCTCTTTAAATATATATTTTTATTTTTTCTCACCCTTATGCACAGTGAAATAGATTACCTGCCCAGCACAAGCCATGAACTCAGATAGGACCTTCCCAGTCGTGCAGGTGACATCAATAATGACATCCCAGCCAACAATCAGGAAGGTATATTTCATACTAAACTTCACTGTGCACCTTTCTTACCTGCAATGTGCTGAGGCATTTCTTTTTTATTTTTTTGTTTTGTTTTTTGTTGTTTGTTTTGTTTTTTGGGGTGGGTGTTCTATCATATTATAATATCACTGTTAACATTATGTTTGAACACTATGTGTTTACATTTTCTAATAGTTGAACCATGGAAAAAGGTCAGTGATCCCCAAGATYCAGCATTGCTGTTTAAGAGGCATCTCTTAAAGGAAGAGGAGAAGAASCCCTCTATCACAGCTTGCATAAATATTACAGAGGACCAAACATCCCTGAGTCGTGACATAATTTCTTTCTACAAAAGACCACAGACTGACTGGGCAAGACCTTTTCAATGTTTTTTAAAGGTAATGAAGATGTCTAAGCACAGATTACTAATGAAGTTTCTATGAAGCTCGATTACAATTAAAGGATGTTTAAAATTCCAACATAGTTCTGTTGATGTAATTATTTTCTTCAATTTATGGTTGCTGTAAAGCATCTTTTAAATTGTTTTTTTTTTTTTTGTTTTGTTTTTCCTTCCATTAGGTGACACAGCTGTTGGCACTGGGGTCCAGAGACATTTTTTCAGCATAGCAATGCTAAAATTGCAACATGGCTTTAACCTCAATAGTGGTATGTTTCCAAATCTGTATTGAAATGCTGTAAACTGAAGTTTTTATATAATAAATCAAACCATGTAATTCAGACATAAAGCCCCCTAAATTTTTTTTAAATGTTGAAATAGTTTTTTTTGCCTAAACTCAACTAGGCATTAGCACAAACACTCATTTAGTCTTTTCTTTGGTTGCTACATGACTCCTAGGTTAAGATAAGATAAAAACTTTATTGTCCATACAAAAATGGAATTTTGTTTACATAATCTGTTTGATGCCCCCCATAAAAAACACACCACAACATCATAAACAATTATCATAATAATTAAAAGAAAGAAAGCTAAAATGTAATCTGCACTGATGAGTTAATTTTTCCTCCTCTGATTTAGGACTTTGANGCTGGAAACAAACTCTGGTTCGTTTAAAGCGGAGCAAATTATCAGGTCTGAATACGACCTAAATGTCAGCACCATTGGACATGGAGAGTTCCATGGGATTGAAAAGGTGGCTCATTCTTTCCAAATCCTCACTGTCAAGTGGAGACTGAAGTTCTGGAAGGTGTCCGCCAGTTTGTTCCATGTCTGTGGTGTCCACCGCTTCACACTCAGCCTGAAATTAGACACCATCTATCAATTCAAAACAATCTATAAACAAAATGTTTGAGTATTTTCCCATTTATGCTATTTTTCACAATGAATTAGAAAACCTGTGTCTTGAGTAATCTTACATCAATATTTTCAGGGGAGTTTACTGGACCGCATTAAAAGGTCCTCACTTTATATCAGACCTCACTTTCATAGTAACTATGGCGCAAATTGTCCTCACTCTCTAGTAAAAACTGGTTCACACACACAGCGAGGAGGGAGAGAACAGAAGTTATCCATTCTGTTTCTCTCCTAACAACTCGCTACACTAGTTATAAAGTAGCTGTGTYTATTTATCCCCTTCTCAGACTATTTAAGGTTAGGCTGGTAAAAAAGTTAACCAGACCCTTGTCCTTCGCTTTATTTCGGACAAGCAGTGAAGGGTAAACAGAATTGAGCGGAACTGCGTAGAGAGGCAAGGGCCAGGCTAATTTAAGGTGGATCTAGGTGGCTGCCTGTAAATAAAGCAAAAAAAAAAAAAAAACATTAGCTAAGTACTGTTTACTTTTTTAACTCCCTAACTTCAGAATGTATTTGTATTAATACAACTACTCTGGATAATTTCTTTATTTTTAACTAAATAGCGCCACCTTAAATAATCAGACTTGCAATATGATGCTAGCTAACTCGTTTTACATTTCTTCAATAAGTGTCAGCTGATAGTTTGTGTATCACTGATGAGTCAAATATGGTATTGTTTACTGTAGGTAGCTTCTAATGCTTTATGGAGACATTATCCAAGAGGGCCAGTGATTCCACTGGACAGCTTGAGTTAGCATAACAACAGTGCTTTTCACTTGTGTTTTTAATTAAAGCAAGAAAACAATGACAAAAACTAACAAGATCAATAAAGAACCTTGTCTAGGCTACTATCATTTATAATGTTTTACATGAACTGCCCTGCTCTGCACCACGGGAAATTAAAGTACAGGAACTGAACGTCATTTTAAAATGTATACCTTTGTTGCTTTTGGTCTACCTAACCATAAAGAAATGCCTACCTGCTCTGCTGCAGAGCTGCTGGAGCCATCCTCCATCTTGAAAACACGCTTGCGCTACACTTGCAGGACCTGCAGGTTCTGCACCAAAAGCCAAACCCATCTGTTCTCTGATTGGATAGCAAAGTGTGACTGACAAGTCAATGACCAATCAGCTGGAGGCAGAAAAACTTGGTCAGAATTCGTACTTGTAAAGTGAAACTCACATGDAAGTTTTGAACTTGAGCAGAGAGATTTACATGTAGCTTTTTGCTTTGTACCTGTAAACAGACCTTAACAAAAAAAAGATTGTAACTTGTGTAAATATTTTTACAGATACAAAT